ATCCAGGGATGAAAACAACAGAGTCCTTGGACCCAGGAGGCTGGCGAGGTCCATCAAGGAAGGATACACCTCCTCCCTCCAACACCGCCCGCGTCACAGCACTAACATGCTACACTAGGACAGCTGGCTGCCATGCTGCAGATGCTCTCCATGGTACCCAAGAGGGACAGCTGGGGCTGTTCAGTGGCTTCACCGGAGCGACAGCAGGCACAGACTGGCACAGCAGGGGAGCACATGGGTTCTCTTGTGTGGTGGAAATGCCACTGCTCGTGTCCAAACAGGTCAGGCGAAAAATCTCTTTGCTGGCTTGGCTGGTGATGAATATTATCAAAGGTGATGAGCCGAATCCTGAGGATTCCCTCTCGTCTGCTGCCCAGCACCTGCAGATCTCCAGCCCCTTCTCCAGAATCTTCTCACTTCCCTGCCACCGTTCCCTGCTGGCACAGTGCTAGCAGGAGAGCTCGAGCAACCCTGCCCCTGGGAATCGGTTTGCACTTCCCTGGTGGTGAGCTCCCCTGCCCAGGCAGCCGGCACCGCGCCAGCCCAGCCCTTCCTCTGTGACGGTGTTTGCAAAGAGGAAAGACGTCACTCTGCAGAAGTGGCACGTACAAGAACACCCGTCCCAAGCTCATAACCGACACACAGGCACACCGAGACGAATGCGCTCCGGAGACACCATGTGCTGGTCTCATCTCACTTCCGCCACCCCGGCCCGCGCACTCGCTCTTCCAGCGCACCCGTGCATGAGGTTGATGGAGCTCCCGGCAGCAGCGATGGAGCATGGCCGTGACCAGCTTGTTTTGTGAAATCTGCACGGCCCCCTCCTGCCTCCCCTCACCTCTCCAGCTGAAATAGTAACAGGTGGGCTCCTCTCGGAAGAGGTGAAGCCAAGACGGGCAGCTGCGTCCCAACGGACATGCCTCACGGACACACTCTGATGGCTGCCAGCTTGGAATCCACACAGTTACTTGATCGGCCTGTTGTGGTGACTCGAGATCACTCAGACAGACTGCGCAGCCCCAGGTCAAACCCTCGCTCAGTACGACAGCCTTGGCCAACAGCTGATGCTTCAGCAGAACGACGCTGAAGTATTTACCGAGTCCCCATCGTGGGGATCTGTGAGCACCTGACAGTAATGCATGCGTGTCTCCTCACAACGCCCTGCGAGGCAGCACCAGGCTCTGATCCATATTAGGGATGTAATAGTCTAGTTGATTAGCCGATTAACTGACAAGCAAAAGCTTATAGGTTAATGCTATAAGCTACACGCATCTCTCCCCGCCCCTTTGCCAGTACATTTTTTAGCAGCCCAGCCAGCAGCCCGGCTCAGTCCTAGCTCATGCCGGGGCTGGGACCTGCCCCCGCTGTGGCTCTGCATCGAAAGTGTATTAGGAACCAGGCAGGCAGCCTGGGTTCAGTTCAGTTCAGTTTTGGCTTGCGCTGGGTCCAGGAGCTCAACCCCCATTCCCGCCAGACAGGGGCTGCTGCCACCATGCGCTGCTGCCTCTGTATCAGAGGCAGCAGCGCAGGGAGACAGGCAGCCGGTTTGCGAGGGGAGCTGGTTTTTAAACTGGTTCCTCTCATGGACCAGCTCCTGCCTGGCACCGCGCACTGCTGCCTATGATAGAGATGAAGCAACACAATGTGGCAGGGGACTCCTGGAGGGTGAGGCCGGAGCGCACTGGCTGCCAGCTGCGCCTCCGGGGACTCCAGACTAGTCAAGTAACCGATAAGAATTCATGAAGTTAATCGACTATTCAATTGACAGATATTTAACAGCCCTAATCCAAATGTTACAGCTGGGGAGCTGAAGCCCAAAGCGGCTACGTGCCTTGTCACAGCAAGTTATGGCCGAGCAGAGAAGCCAAAGTGGGCCTCTCACAGCTTTGGCCATCATCCTAAGCACAGGGGAATCCTGCCTCTCCTTCCCAATAACCAGGACGGCCAACCAGCAGCACTGCGGAGGGGAAAAAGTTTTTCCAGATCCCTGCAAGGCACGGCTCAAGGTGCTGAAGCACCCCGAAGAGAATTATTTGCTCTGGGGTATCCCCTTCCATTGCTGTACAAAGCGCCCACACCAGAGTGGCATTGCTGATGTGCCACGGTAGCAGAGACAGCCCATAGCCTAGGACCAGAGATTCGGCAGCTGGCTCTCTAGGGAAAGGAGCCCATAGGAAGCAAGCGGCTCCCAACCAAGAGACACACGTGAGCAATAATTGCCAAAGAGAACACAAGCCTCGGATTGAACTATTCAGGTACATGAGACATTGCCAGCCATCGACCCCTTCGCCTGCAAACCCCACCATCTCTCGCAGGTGGAAGGAGGCCAACAACGGTGGTGGCCCTGCCACGGGAGCACCTCGCAAGCGGGAACAGCAAGAACAAGACCTCCCCCTTCAGTCCCAGCCTGCAGGAGAAGTGGCAGGTTACAGTCGGCATGTCGATAGAAACCCAGAGAAAGCCACATCCAAGAGCTCAGCCGCAAACATGGTGAAGCCCCTGGTTGTTCCTATTTCTTAGCGGGGTGGGGTCCATAGCACAGCTCCGGTTCCTGGGAAGGTCCTGCCTCCTGCACCCACAAGTCCTCCATTATTCATTGATCGTTTCATTGATCCAGGCACCTGCAACGGTCGTGGGAGGCCACAGCAGCAGCAGCAGGGAAACTGACCCTCAAGTAAGCAGGACGAGCTCCATCATGGACTTTGATGACGATGACCTAGAGCTGCCCTCTAATCGACAGGGAGCCGGAGTGATGCTTTCAGGGCAAGCAAGGTTGCTAAGCAGGCGGGTGGTTGCGTTGGACCTTCACACTGCAATAGCTTCCCTCCTGGATAGGAGGGGCATTAACCTAGCCTGGGACATTGTGAAACGGTGGATCCCATGGACAGGTCTGTGCCTGGCTGCCGGGTACAATCTTCCACTCAGCTGTGGCTGGAATTCATTATTATTCTGCCTCTGCGACTGTGTAGGTGCTGGGGCCCTGTTCCTGGCTCTGCCACTGACTCGCTACATTGCCTCAGGTCAGTTACTTACAATAAACGCCTGGTTTCTGACTCCCCATCAGAGACATGGCCTAATATCAACACTTCCCCACCCCACAAACACAGTCTGGAGCCATGGAAGGTGTAAAATGATCAGCCCATTGTCTACACACCCTGGCTGCTGCACAAGGTACATGCAGGCACGGGCTCAGCGTTAAAAAGCAGCGCTCCGGTAGGCTCTGAAATAGCACCATGTGCTCACCCTGCTCCCAGCCTGCATCACAACCAGCAGGGAATACGGCACGACTTTAAAAAGCAGGAGCGGCCTTTGATGTTTTAATACCGTCCCTAACGTCACACGAGTGCGCGGCACTGATACAGGAAAAGCAATCGCTACGGAACACACCGTGTCCATCTCAGGCACGGGTAGCCTCAACTGGAATTGTCACCGGGTTTCTCCTTGCTCTTCCTTCCATGTGTTTCTCTTCCTTCCATGTGGGGTTAATCAGGATTGCGCTCCCGCCCCCGGCCCCAGGGCAAAGTTTGGGAATGCGGGTTCGGAGGAGGGGAAAAAAAATCAAAACCCGACTGCCTGAAACTGAAACCAGAGACTCGCCCGCCCCAGGAATCCCTGCGGGCGCTCGCTCAGCTTTGATCTTTGCTGAAGAGAAGCTGGGGACCGTAAGGGCTGCTGCTCCTGTAGCCCCCACCACGTTGCAGAACGGACCCCTGGCAGCACGGCTGTGGGCACTGCAGGGAGCTCGCCAGGGACGCTGCAACTAGTCAAAGCCCCTGCGCCAGAACACAGTGCACACGCACCGGCACCACGCACCGGGTAGGAGTGTCCATTCCCCGGTCTAGCTCATGCCTGGCCCACAGGAGGGATCGGTGCTTCATCTGTGCCAGCGCTCAGCCCTGCCACCCACGAGCCCTGCACGTGGCACTGCTGCGAGGCATGCGGAGACTCAGTTAAGCCACGTGCAGGCCGGAGACTCGTGGCAGCTGGGGAAGGGCTGCCTGATGCCCAGCCTCCAGCTAGCTGCAGGTGCTGCGGTGAGGAGAGAGAGCTGGGGGAGTTCTCTCAGCTTGCAGTAGCCCTGGAGCACCCTCCTTCACCCCAAACCTCCCCCCACAGCCTGCATCTCTAGCTGCGCCCTCACGCCCCACCCCAGAACTTACACCCCCAGGTACATCCCCTGCACCCCAACCCTGTCTAAGCCTTGAGCTCCTCACCTCTGGCCCCATCCCAGAACCCACGCCCCCGAGTAGAGTCCCTGCACCCCAACCCTGTCCCTAGTCCCACCCCAGAACCCACACCCCCAAGTAGAGTCCCTGCACCCCAACCCTGTCCCTGGCGCCACCCCAGAACCCATACCCCCAAGTAGAGTCCTCATACCCCTGCACCCCAACCCTGACTCAGCCCTGAGCTCCTCACCCCTGGCCCCATCTCAGAACCCACACCCCCAGGTAGAGTCCCTGCACCCCAACCCCGTCCCTGGCCCCACCCCAGAACCCATACTCCCAAGTAGAGCCCTCATACCCCTGCACCCCAACCCTGTCTCAGCCCCAAGCTCCTCACCCCTGGCCTCACCCCACAGCCTACACTGAGTAGCCGCTGTCTTACTGCCAGAACTCTGACATGCTCACCTCACTACCCACTGGCACAGGGCCATGTTGGAAATTAGACTTACAAGCTTTTTAAAGGGAGGCTGTTTGGCCTAGTGGATAGGGCACCAGATTCGGATGCTAATGAGCTGGTTTCTACGCCAAGCTCTAGCCCAAAACTGCCATAATCAAAACTGGAGTAGGTATTCCCAAACAGAGAGCAAACTTTCAAAATCTGGTGGTTAATGTCTCTGTGCCTCAGTTTCCCCACTTGTCAGACAGGCATAGAGCTTATTCCCTGTGCAGGGAAGTTGTGAGGGCACAACTAGTGTCTTGGAAGCTCTTTGAGAGCAGCAGGCGGCAGGTGTTGTTGAAGTGACACCCTTTCTATACAGTTCCTTGTCCTTTACTCACCATGAATGCCAGCCAGTCCTCCTTGGAATTCCTCCAGAGAACAAGGGTAGGTACACCAGGGACTCCTGGGGGGCCTGGATCTCCGGGGAGGCCTGTTCTCCCCATTACGCCAGGGTGTCCCTAGGATGGAGAAGAACAGCTCCGTGAAGACAGGCTTGGATTTTCCAGTCAACACGCACCCAGAGCTGGGCCTGAACCAAACCACATTCCCCGACCGTGGGGGAGTTCAGATCTGAACTTCTTAGCCAATTCCTGGGACCAAAATGAAATCAAGTGAAGCCCCAAGATCCAAACCACTCTGGGAAAACGTGGAGCTGGGGATGAAACGTTGGGTTTGACCCAACTCTGAAGTGTCCGGAGCCTGCACACCGACTGAGCGATATGCTGTAAGCGGAGAGTACAGTTCTAACCCTGTCACCCTAACACACGCACAGGAGCAGCGTGACTGCCACACCCACCCACCGCTCTACTAGCTCTCTCGCCAAGAGACACATGCCAAATGAATCCATCGCCACCCCTGGAATCTCTACAGCCGTTCGGCACACTGTGCACATCTGCTGGGCGACACCATGCCTGGACAGAGAAGTGATGCTGACAGATGCTAGGTGGAGAAGGGCCCTTGTCAAAGCCATCGTGGGCTCTGTAGCATCATGGCCAAAATTTTACGCTGCTTCTGAGGAATGAACGTCCCTGCGTGGGCCTGCTGGCGGCACGTACAAGCCCTGCTCCGCTACCCTCCTTTTCTGAGAGAGTGTGGGCTTGTCAGAGCCGTCCCGTCCCGTCCGAACCTGGACAGCTGCCCCAGACCCCGTGCTTCTGGAGGCCCTGTGACAGCTGCCCCAGCCATCTTATGGATGGGCCCCACAGGATTAGCAGGGGCCGCCCTTCCTCCCTTGCACTCACTGCGGCAGCAGGAGCTGGATCCACCCGGCCGCCTGCTCGGCTCCGCCCCATCCCGGCCCGCTGCACTCGGCTTCCCCCAGGGCACTCGGCTTCCCACTGCTGCGGAGAAGTGGGTGCAGCGGGCCAGGAGAGGGCGGCGTGGCAGGTTGGAGCAGGCTCCAGCTCCCAGCACTGCAATGGGAAGGGGGAGCGACCCATTGAAACCACGCCAGGCTCCCCTGTTGTTTGGGGGTGGGAGTGTAGCAGAGGCAGGGCAGGGCTGGGGCCTCTGGTGGGAAGGGTGGGGATCCCCCAGGGCCCTGCGCCTGGGCCTTGCGGGGGGAGATTGCCCCAGGCCCTGCGGCCCCCTCAGGACGATCTTGGGGCTTATCTAAAGTCACCATGCGCAGCACTGGGCACAGACAGGGCGGATGGGACGATGGGGATTTACTCGTGCCAAGGGCTGCGATTTGCATTTCTCAGGCTGGGGAAAGCAGCCCTGCGCAGGACAAAGCCTTTGGAATAGGTCTGTCACGCCCTGCTGCCTTGGCGCTGTGCGGGAACGTCTCCACAGCAAAACACAACCCACGTTGCCCTCCACCACCCGTGCAGCAGCAAGCCTCAGAGCCTGGCTCGACTGCTAGAGACCAAAACCAGCCATGTAGCGATTCGGCCTTGGGCTAGAACCTGGCCTCTGGGACCAGCGAGGGGGGCGCACCAGCTGGACCTGGAAGCTCTGCACGGTTGTTTGTAGCCCCACAGCACAAGCCCTGCAACCCTGAGCCAGCTGACCTGAGCTCTGAGACACGCTGCTGCAGGGCTCTTTGCTGTGCAGATGTTCCCTGGGATGCTAAGTCTCAAATCTAATAGGCAAAGTGAAGCAGCACTGGCGTGACGTCTGCTTCAGCCCCCACCACTGATATGACATCCAGGGGCTCTGCTGATTTCACCGTCGACCAGGCGAGGCCTAAGGCCTACAGAGCCTTGGTTACCAGGGAGAGCAGTGCAGTCTGGGACTCGGGAAACCTAGGTTCTGCTTCGTGCCTGACTCTGGCCTACAGGATGGTATTGAGCAAGCCACTTGTCCTCTCTGTCTGTTTCCTCCCCTGTGAAATGAGAACGGTACCGTCCTCCTTTGTGAGGGACCTGGCGGTAGTTGAGATTCCTCCACCGTGCTTCTACAGAGCAGATGCTTTAAGACACAAGCATGAATTTGGCTTGGAAATATCCCAACACAAGCTGAGCCATCCTCATAGGAGTACTGGAACACGGGGCGTGGTGAGTAGGAATCTCAGAAGCTACCCAGGCAGTTTCTAATCCCATACATGTCAGAGCTGCGTTCACCACTGAACCTAACCACGTCTGAGGAACTTCCGGCGTTTTCCAGCATACTCACTTTGTCTCCTTTGGGCCCCAGAGGTCCATGTCTCCCCGGGCATCCCTGAAAAACAAAAACAGGAGCTGTGTCACTTGGCTGTGTGGTTTGCTCGATTCCACCTGGGCAAAGGGCTCGGTTGCTGGCACACAAGGACAATCTTGACTTGCGACGATCCCCCAAGCTGGTTGTAGGACAGGAATTTCTAAGCAGAGATACTGCAAGCACAGGCTAAAAAGCAGATCACTCAATTGGCAGGCTGAACTTGCTCCAGGCTGGGAGGAAACGGACTGTAGCAGGGCCTGTCCTCAGGGGGACGCTCACGAAAATTAATCTGAATTAATGAAACGTGTCACTTTAAAGTGGATTAATTAAACTGAATTAAATCCATATGGATACTCACATTCAGTCTCAGAGGGGGGCCGTGTTAGTCTGTAATTTTAAAACAATGCGTAGTCCTGTAGCACTGTAGAGACGAAAAACAATACATACGGTATCACAGGCTTCCGTGGGCAAGACCCACTCATCGGATAGTAACAGACAGGAGCTGCGTGACTGCAAAGCACATGCACATGTCTACCCAGCTCTCACCAAGACACATTGAGACGCACCGACCAATGAGTCCACTGAAGTGGGTCTTACCCACCAAAGCTCATGATACTGATTGTTTCTGTTAGTCTCTATGGTGCCACAGGGCCACTCATTTTAGCCTTAATTCAGTTTTTCTTAGTTTAAAATAAGAATAAGAATAAGAATAAGAATAAGAATAAGAATAAGAATAAGAATAAGAACAAGCCGTTAAGCCGACCTAAGTCCCCTGCATGGGTCTTCCATCAGCCACCACCTCTCGGTGACACCTGCCGCATGAGAACCTCTCCGGCCACTGCAGTGAGTGTTGACAGATGCCACACACGGAAGCCCTGCAGTGTTTTATGTGTGGTCCCAGCCCAGGTGTGTGTGTGGGGGGGAGGGGCAGTAAGGGGATGCTGATTCCCATGACAAATTCCTGTTCCAACTGGTGGGTCAGTTTTGAAGGGAAGGTTTGGTGCAAGATGGAATTTCTAGTCAAAGCACAAGGGAGCCCTCTACAGCCCAGCAACCAGGGCACTCGCTCAGCATGTGGGAGGGACCCAAGTTCCAGTCCCTGATCCAAATCAGGTTAAGACTTGGACAGGGGTCTCCCACATGCCAGCTGAGCGCCATAAGCCCTGGGCTAGGGGCTATGTAGGGCTGGGACAGAGGTGGACACACACAGATAAGGAAAGCGGTTCCTGTCCAGTTCTACTCAGCAGTGTAAATCCCACTCATGGTCAATGTGACTGCTTCTTGGGCGCCTGTGTCACTTTTGAAAACGCTACTCTCGAGCCTTGGAAAACTGGATCCCATCCTCTATTTGACAGGACCTGTCTTTAGCTTGTCAAGCTTCTTGCTCGGGAAAAGGCACAGGGACAAATACCATCGGGGACGCTGGTGGCGTATTTGTGCTTTCAATTGTTTTGTAAGGAAAAAACTTCTGCATCATGGTCCCTATTCCAGGGGCTCTCAGCCTTTCCAGATGACTGTACTCCTCCCTTTCAGGTGGCTGATGTGTCTTGCAGACCCCAAATTTCACCTCACTTAAAAATTGCTTGTTTACAAAATCAGACACAAAACTACAGGTTTCCCTGCCTCACTAGTACTGAACAGTGGCTGACTTTCTCTTTTTCACTTTACAATTATAACATAAATCAATTGGAATATCAATATTGGACACACATTTCAGTGTACATTGAGCCATACAAACAACTTGCTGTCTGTATGAATTGACTTTGCTAATGCTTTTTATGTCACCTGTTGTAAAACTAAGCAAGTATCTAGATGAGCTGATGTACTCCTTGGAAGATCCCTGCGTACCCTGGCTGTATGTGTACCACTGGTTGAGAACCACTCATCTAGCCGCATCTAAATCTAAATCTTTAGCTACTGTGAATCAGTGTAGCACTATTAAAACAATTAAAGCAATGTTGTCCTTTTCCACCAGCTGGGGATATGATCCTAAAAAAAATCACTTGCAACAACAACACTGGTGCTTTCAACTGCAGCAGGAAGGAAACACCCTGAGCTCTGAGGGTAAATTGCAATTAACACATTTTTCAGGGTCTGGATGTTTTTACTGAACACAGCCTGCAAGCAAAGCCAACACCTGATTGGTGGCTCTCTGATGCAAGTCATGTTCTACTAACTAAGCGTTCAGCTGAGACACCCTCCCCTCAGTTCACCCAAGAGTTTAGCTTGAGGGGGTAGCACTCATAAAGGACACAGTCAGTCAAGCCAAAAAAAAAAGTCTCCTTTCATGCAGAGTGGAAAAAGAAACAAAGGGGCACCGTCCATCTCAGTCTCCTTCCCTGGGCCACTAACAGCAACAGAAATTACTCATCAAACTACTCTGTCCATATTGCCCAAAACAGAGGGTCGCTATTTTGGCACAGAAGCAACTCAAATATCATTCGGAAGACATGGCCATTATCCAGAACTTTGAATTGGCACAACACTAGCATCCAGGTGTGAATTCCACACGGTTTCATACTTCGGGTGCGTCCAACCGCAGACGTTCCAGTCCTGTGCATAACAGTTTTGAGGGTTTTTAAAATAGAATCATATGGCGCACATTCTCCCTCAATGAGAAACACCTTTGCGGGGAGGGGGAGGAGAGAATTCATCCCTGACTAGGATTCTCTGGAAAATGCATGAAGTTTAAAAGTGCAATTGGAAAGCTTTGGCTTTGGGTACCACATAAAGCAGGCTCCAGTTGTAAACACACAACAGAGCTAGCAGAGGTGGCCTTTCAGTCCCAACAACCTTGGACATGAACTAGTCTGCTGCATATTTGTGCTAGTTACGCCTTGTTTAACGAGCTGCATGTGCAGTGATCCTCCGTGACCTGGTTCCCCGCACAGATGCTCAACGTATCTCAGAGCGGTGAGCACAAAAGTCTGAAAGAGTTTATCCTCCGCCCGCAAGCGTGCCATCCGGGAGCTAGAGCCCACAGTCTCCAATCTGGAGGCCTACCGACTTGTGCGCATAAAGAAGTGGTCTGATTCGCAGAGATGCTGTCTCCACAAATACCCCCAAAGCGAGAGCTGGGAAATTCCATTCCACGTTCCTACAGGGCTTGGGGTGCTTGTACAGCTGAACTGTTGGGCTATGTGTACACTGGTGCGATCTTGCGCCAGAGCTATGCAAATGAGGCTAAGCATGGAATATCACTGGGCCTCATTTGCATATCTAATGAGCCGCCATTTTTGCGAAAGAGACTCTTGCACAAGAAGGAGCTGTGTACACTGCCCCTTCTTGTGCAAGAAAAACCCTCTGGTGCAATGCCGTTATTCCTGAAAATACTCAGCGTAACGGCATTGCGCAAGAGGGTTTTTCTTGCGCAAGAAGGGGCAGTGCAGACAGCTCCTTCTTGCGCAAGAGCCTCTTCCGCAAAAATGGCGGCTCATTTGGTCTTGCAAAAGAGCGTGCGCAGGA